AATTATAAATAAATTTGTGAATAAGAGTATAATTTTTTTTTTCTTCTATAGTTCATTATAATTTTTATTCTGTCAGCATTATTTTATTCATTCAAAAATTCATTAATTCTATTATGAAGCTATTAAATAAAGTAAAATAATAATTATTTGGATAATTAACTGTACATGTCTTTGTATTAAAAAGCATAAAGAAATTTCTGAAATAGTTAAACATGTTACCAAAATAAATTACTGTCAAAGTATATGTTTCTGTTAGTTATATGAATATTATAACAGAATTTATAATTTACGTTAAATTTAATAAAGAAGAAACATCAGATTGTTCGTTATTAAAAATTTACAAACTTCTCACACTTTGAACAATTTTTACAAAATTCTATTGAAAGAACTATGGTGAAGATAATTTCAATAGAACTATGTACTTTGATTATAGATTACACACACACACACACACACACACACACAGACACACACACATATATATATATATATATACGCATACATAGATGCATGTTCGCACGTATATGCATATATATGTATGTATAGACACATATACATATGCATAGATACACGTAAGTATACACACATATGCATATACATAGATACATACATGTATACACACGCTGGCACGCACGCACGCACACACACACACACATATATATATATATACATATTTATTACGTATACATTTCGTAATTTTCAACAAAATATCAGTTTTCCATTTCAAAAATTTAATCACAATGGTATGATAAAAATGCACATTTTTAACATCTCAAATACAGTAAAACTATTTAATTTTTTATCTGTTAAATAAAAGAATGTAAAGAAAAAAAAAGAAAAAGAAAAAAAAGAAATACCGAACTTTGTAGACGCTTATAAAATAATTTGTTAACATAAAAACAATTTCAATAAACGTATAGTGCGTGTTTTTCTTTCTCACTTCTTACAGTTCATTTTTCAATAACAAGGAAAAAATGAAAGAAAAAGGGGATAAACAATAAAGAACTTCCTTCTACCAAACAAGTCTCATGTGTGCATCTTTAAAAAAGAAAACCAACAAAAAAAAAAGTAAGTTGAAGAAAAATTAATAAGACATAAGGAATTAGCAATTAATTAGCGCTTAATACTAAAAAGGTGACACGCAATCACGATTTCTTTCTTTACAGGCAAAGCATATATTCCCACAATAAAGCAACGCTCGGTAGAGCGTTATTACTTTTCGAGTTTCTTTCGGCCTCTAACACTCGCTCATAAAAATTGCTGTTCGATAAGCTTTGTCAAATAATAAATTTTTAGTTGACTTTATTCGATCTATTGAAATTTTTTTTCGTACATTCAAATCTCTATAAGATTTGAATCTCTTAACCACTGTTTCTAGTCTTGTATCCTCGGATAAACGGAAGAAATAAGTGTTTCTACACTAGAAAACAACATTGTTTTATTTAAGATATTGATTTTATATTTTAAATCAAATTAAAAATATATTCCTTTTAACGTGTTAACTGTTTATATGTATTCACTGCTAGGAATAAAATTACTTTCTTTTGAATGAAAATTGTATTTTAGTGTATTCTAAGGAAATTTGTATTTAACTTAGAATAATAAAATTATTGTAATGTATTTTAAAATATTGCACTGCAATCATTTGAAAAAAAAAAAAAAAAGATTTAAAATATTTAAATTTTGCAATTAATAAAAATTGCTGATTCAACTGTCTTCGCAATTTTGAGGTTATTAAATTCCATGTAATTCTGACAAAAATTAAAAGAAAAAACTATCATTTTTATAAAAATCACTCCAGATGATGAATCTTAAATAAAATTATTTCCATATTAAAAATTAATCTCAAAATATGTACGACATTTCTATAAAAATATTGACTAAACTCATGTGTTGAAGTCTTTTCAAATATCTTCTTCATAGCTGGAATACTTCCACAACTCGTAAACAAAACTTGATTTTACAAAACATTAAGGCGATTTGGTCTTCTTAAATTTACGCTCATTATGTACACGTCATTTGGGAATCAAACAATAAATCTTTTTAAAAAATATAAGTTTAGTAATGGAAAAAAAAGAAAAAAAAAGAAAAAAAAAAACAAAAAAAAAAAAACAAAAAAAAAAGTAGTTAATCGTCGTGGACATACTTGATGTCGAAACACTAGAATCAATCAAATCATTGTAAAATTTATTTTCATACTTTTTTTAAATATGCCTCTTTACGAAAGTATATGTGTCGACGTGACCACTTGTTAGGACATAAATTACATGGCACAATAAGGAATTCCTTGAATCTGAAGTACCCGTATCGTTTCTTAACATTGCTTTGATCTTTTGTGTGGACATCTTTCGTTAAAAATATGTATCACATTAATCTTATAGAAAATTGAAAATTGAAAACTGATATTTCGTTAGCTTATACCAAGATAAGTAGTTTGCTCATTAACTAGATTAAAATCTCAATTTGTTCACAAAGTATTGCAAAAATCTTAGAGATAAATCGAACAGTACAAGATTAATTTGATTATAATGAATATGTTAGTCTATATTTTTGAATTGTAAATTGTATGAGCAATTGTTAATATTTTTTGTATATTCTTGGAATTATATAATTTTTGCTTTAGATCTAACAACTACGTAAAAGTTTTAACTTTTCCGCGTATTCAAAACAGGTATTCTTAACACTTAATATCTTTCTAATTTTGAAAAATAGTACTTGAACAGCTTTTTATTTTTTGGTTTAATTCGTAATATTATTATAGATTATAATTACAATATATTATCTTATCATCTGAAAAAATACTCTAATGTAAACAAACGTAGCGTTCATTTTTCACAAAACTGATATTTATTTATTTATTTTTTTTTTTTCACTCTAATTCAGTATAAATCTGACGTAGAATTATTTTATTTTCAATTGTAAATCTGTGTGCCATATTTTCATTAATAATAATCACTTTGTAAAATGGTTTATAATACACATTGAGTTTATATAGAATAAAATTTGTACAAGCTTCTATTTAGTTAAAAGTTTCAATACACCGTAAGCTGAATTTAATATAAATCTTTCCTTTATGTGTACAATCTAATGTAAATATAAAATATTATAATTAATTGATCTAAATACTTTAATTACAAAAATTATACTAAATAAAAATAAAAAGGCATAATTAATATGGCTTAGATTAGACATCTTTAGTCTTTTATTTTGCCATCTTTATAAATCATTAGACAATTACAATTTTTACTTTAAATGGACATTTAATTACTTTGTAATGATAGTTTAATGCCTACTAGTATAATGGACAAGTATTGGTAGAAGCAAAAATATAGTACTGCAATGATAGTTAAATATATATCAGAGTTATTAATGTGGCATTGTAAATTTGCTACGCTAAATACGTGTTCTTACCTAAAGGCATGTATGTATGATTTGTATTTAAATTTTGGTCATTAATATAAAACTATTGCGAACGATGAAAATATGGCATTATAAATACGTCGATAAGGTATATTTAAAAGTAACGAGAAATGCCCATGTCTGTACTTAGCTTTTACTTACTTTTTATTCTTCTTGACAATCCTAACTCTCGTAATACTCAAAGTTTCCCTTTCTCTATATTACAGTCAAATAGGAAGGAAATAAGCTCCTTTTCTCTCTACAAATAGTCTTTCCATCTCCCTTATGGATATCATATGTATATATTTACAGACTACGCATTCCAAAGGATACAGACTTAATAAGTGATTTTACCATGATAAGCCTCGAACAGCAATCTCTTCACAGAACAAAAAACTAACTAGCGCAACGATTTCTAAAGTGATTTTTTCTTCAAGCAGTCAATCACAAGCATATATTATCCATTACCATTTACGCGGTCTTAAAAGTTAGTTATTATTTATATTTATTAAATAAGCGAGTTTGTGTAAAAATTTAACGTATTTTAGTACACACTAGCTTCTTACACTTTGTTTATATATCTTTTGTTCTCGCTCAAACGCTTATTTTCTCCCTTGCTTTATGCATCGTATAACCAATTGGTTTTACATACCTTGAATTAAATTTTTTCAAGTGGTGCTTCAAAACTCATTTTTTGTTTTTCACAAATCTCAGTTAATACATGAAAAAAAAAAAAAAAAAAAAAATGATTGTTGACATTGTTTTGTAATTTTTATGTTTAAGGAAGTATTTAAGATATACTTGCACTGTCTTTGTGTTATTATTATACGTGTTGGTCTGTTTAGATTTAGCTTTGCAAGGAAAATCTAAATAACGACATTGAAATCCATAGTTTATAACTGAATTTCCATCATGACGCGTTAACCATACACATTTAATTTCACTTTTAAGCTCTTAGACAGTTTGGTAGAATTTTCCCTCTCAGAGGGAAACTTATTAAAGTATATACATTTGCGTTGTCTATAGGTAAAAAGGTCTCACGACCTTTTTATTTTTTAACAGCGCTACAAAGTTCAAACTTTTGATTTCCACAATATTTTCATAATCAATTCGCAAATGTCTCTGTACTTTCGATAAATAAAAGTGACTGATGTGTGAATCCTAGGTATATTAGGAATCTTCGCTTGTTGCAAGATGCACTGTACATTTTTTTTTTTTTTCATTGGTTGTATATTCCTTATCTCTCTTTTGTTCTGTCTCTTGCATGCACTTTCTATTTTTTTTCGACACGCATATATACACTTTATTACCTTCTGAGGCACTAGGCTGCGCCACTTGGCTTTGTTGATTCAGCGATTTATTTCCACTCTTTGAATCAATATATTATATGTAGTTTGCCATTTCAAGTATTTTCAATTTATTTTGACGCAGTTCAACCGCGGTTTTGCTCTCGCATCACTTCACCAAGTTCAATTGAATCATAATTTGTCGCACCGACACTAAACAATCACTAAGATCAGATGCGCGACAGACAGTTTTTTCGTTAAGAATAATAATTATGTAGGAATATAATGCATGTATGCACATATGTATATATGTATTGTGTATTTTATGCCAGTGTGTGTATGTATAATTGTAGCGTGTGTGTTGTTTAAATCATGTAAAAGCACTTTATCAATTAATTTTCTACTGTTTGTGGAGCTTATCTCACTGTCCACTATAGTACTGTACACGGCCTGATGATGCAGACCCTGTTTCTCGCATCACGTCATCCCAAGCTGTCGACGATTCCATGAAAGCAAAAAGAAATGAGCATCGTTAATGGTACATACAAATATAGGAAAATATTTACAAAGTAATTTAGTTAGTTATTTTCTAATCCACTTCCTATGAAATTAAATAAATTAAAAAAATGCTTTCGGTAATTATTATCATTGATTTGTCTTAAATAAACTTGAGAAATAATAGTAAATTCATCTTTGTCTTATTAAAGTATTATAAATAAATTGTGTTATTATATATAACTGTTGTTCCTACATTAGGTAGTATTAAAGCTGTAAGTATTGACGATTGAATGGTGCTAGTGAGACGATTAATTTTTTAATTATATTTATAAATAAATTTATAAAGCATTGCATTACAATTTATTTTCAAATTTTTAAATTAGATTGCTTAGAGATTGATTATCTTCATAATAAGATTCTTATTATAAGATTTAAATAAGACTCACCTAATCCAACGAATGACACAATCTTGTCGTGATTGAATTTTTGTACGTGACTTTCATCAGGAGCAATGTAACGTGAAGAGAAGTCCTCTTTCGGTTGATTCCGACACTTTTCAATGACTGGTGGCGGTGGGTGCTGAGGTAGCATATATTGAGCTTGAAATCTCATTTGGCAGCTCATGTAAGCTGACATCGTCTGAGCTAAGACTGGATGCGGAGGGGGAATCGGATGCACGTACATATACGGATTGATAGGGAAATTCGGCGGGAATTTATCACATCTAACGTGCTTGTCGAACATTGGCGGCGGTTGACTAAAGTGTGGCCCTGAATTGGCATAATGAGATAAATCTACACCGGCCGTTGGAGCTTCATCCTCACCCTCATCCTCCTCCTCCGATAGAAGAAGCTGTTCATTAATCTCGAATCCGAATATGAGTTCACTCGATTCCGATTCTGTACTCCTGGATTGATCGGTTACGTTTTCATCCAAGAGTATTACCGCAGGTCTTGTCGACGCTGTTGTGGTTGTTGTTGTTGTTATTGATAATGGGTTCACTTTGTTTATTGAATAATTTTCAGTAACCTTTTGTTCTTTTTCACTTTTGTTAATGGAATTGGACTGTTTTGACTTTTTGTTTTCCAAGTCATCGCCTGGTTTATCTTGTCGACAATTTGGAGTCTAAAAATTATGCGGATATACATAAGTACAAGTATGAAGAAACAATGAATCAATAGAAAAATCACGTATACGTGTCTACTAATTTTTCATTAATTTTACTCCAATAATTCTTCTTCACAAATTAGTATACATATGTTTATTCAATAAATTATATTATATTCTACGAACATACACTTATAATGTTCAATAATGATTTGACAATAAAATAGATTTTTTTTTTTTTTTTAAAGAAAATAACAATTTTAATTTAATATAAAAATTGTATTCATTAAATTACTCAATCTTAAATTATCTTTAAAAATAATGTAAATTATCTTTATTAAAATAAGTTTTTCATCCAATTTAATTGTAATTATTGGCAGTTAAGAGCTAATGTTAAGAGCCAAACAAATTATTGCTAGACGTACGTACATAAGTAATAATATCTTATTGTAACATTCAATAATTAGAACTTATGTTTCACGTGTGCATCTAATGACACGACAGTATGTAATAATTTAGAGCTTATGTATAAATAATAAGTCATCATCACCTGTTGCTGATAACACACTTTCAAAGTGTCTTTAGAATTAATTTGTTGTTGATCCTTAGAAGCTTTGGAAAGTTTTTCAGTTTTATTTACACGTGCAGTCTCGGCATCGATAACGGATCGCAAAACATTATTCCCTATCCTTGTCTTGGCAGAATCAATAATTTCTGACGGTCCTGCCGTCACATTATGTGCACTTGCCATCTTCTTCACATCCTTATCATCTTGCTGCGATTGAATTGGATTGGCGACTTTCATTTCGTCTGGCAACGAGCTTTGAAATTTCTTTGAATCGCGAGACTCGTCGATCTGCGATTGACTTTGAGTAGTAGAATACTCTCTATTACCCGAGCCAGAGTTTTGCGGATGATTTTTACGTATTCTTGTACTTTTTACATTTGCATTTAAATCCTTGGTACTCTCGCTATTACTACTGTTCTCCATTTCAGGCGGAGAAGAAAAATTAGAGGACGACTCGGGTAACTTCGGAGGCAGTGGATTGGTTGGTGTTGTTTCGTTTGAATTTAGACTAGAATTATTAATCGACTGTTTGTTTTCCTGTTGCATCTTCTCAATGTCTTGTACATACTTGACTACTTTGCTCATGGCTTCCTCCTGCGCCTCTTGCGTCTTTTTGCTGCCTTCGGTTGGCAGCTTGGATTTGGGCATTGTTGGCGAAGGTGGCTTATCAAGACTAACGCTCATTGGGCCTTGTTGGGCAAAGCTCTGCTGCCGCAATTTTCTGTCGGAGTGCTGTAGCTCATCGAGGCTTGGGTAATAGTCGTTTGGAAGCTTCTCTATTTCTGTATTATTCTTTGAGGAAGCGACGGTAGGCCACGCTGCTGTATTGATCACATTCGGCATTAAATTCGATATGTTTAAAACAGGCGTCGCTGGCATATTAAGCGTTGCCATGCGCGCGATATCAGCGTAACTTGCTTGAGGTGCACTTGATGATGATGTAACTGTCTTTGATGAATTGTGTTTCGACGAATTTGACGTTACAGGAAGCGAATGAACAGAGTCTAGGTCACTGCTATCTGATTTGTCACTAAAATACAAAAATACTCAACCGTTTAAAACATTCCCAAAGAAAATTGTAAGATTAATAATTTTAAATAAATAGAAGTTTATGCTCTATTCGTGATTAATTAATTTAACACAACTTCAATATAAAATATATGTATGAAAATGCCTTTACTGTTGCGCTGTATTATTTATAATCTTTCATAGCGACCCCTCCCCGATACAGAATTTAATTTTTAAATTTTTACTAAAAGTAACGTAAATATTTTTGTACAAATTCTTAAATGGTATTATTGTTTAATTAACAAGGTACTTTGTCATAAAATGTATTTGGACTTTCATAAATAATGCCCAATGTGTTAATACAAAATTGAAATTATATATCTTATTCCACACGACCTCCTACAAGCCTTTAACAAATTTATTTTTCATATTTAAAGTCTTAGAGATAGTTACCTTGGAGGCATACTGCTGGCAGATTTCCGTCTGAGTTCTGGAGACAAAGGCGTCCTATAATCGTTATTGAAGCCTCTACCACGTTGTAAATATGATCCAGAACCCGTAAGATTCTGTGCTCTTCCACCACTAGAACTTCTACGCTGCTTTTTAGCTTTCTTTTTCTTGTTTGTTACAACATGAAACTCTGTTTCCGCTTCGTAATCTACGTTATTCTTTTTCACGGAATTTCGGCGACTACTGTAATCATCGCCTGTATCATTGCAATAAATAGACTGTCCTTCTTCGGTGCCCCAAGATCTACGATCGCCTCGTGAATCTACCACTGTTGTATCACCAGTACTTCGCTGTTTTGTACGACGTAAAGCTACATTAATGGAACCTACAAAGCAATAAAATAATATTATTGTAGAGTTGAGAAATTTTAATGCGATAAATAGCCAATAGGTTGTGCGCTAAAAAGATATTTTTATTCCTTTACCATGCTGACTGGAAACGCTGCTTGATCCACTTGAAGTTGTGCTTTTTTCCGTAGTAAGATCCTTAAGTTTGGTCTTTGAAATTTCTTCTAAAGAGTTTGACTTTTGTAATTTTGCAGGTATCTGTTCCCTTTTAATGTCTTTATTGTCTCGAGATCGTGACTTTGTATTTGATGCAGCTTTTACTTTAATCGAGTTACTGGCTTTTCCCTTTTTGCTTTTACACTCTTTGTTTTCAATGAAACTTATTAAAATATCAATATCTTCGTTTCTGTGACCCTTTACATTCTCAGATTGATATACTATGACGTTTGGTTCTTGGGCATTCTTTCGACGAGGCTTTTTTTTCTCTCCGTTGTAGACTTGAACAGCGTTACCGTTTTCATCAAGTGACTTTTTCTCTCCAGATAAGGAAGATTCTTTTCCCGGAATATGCTGTGCTGTTAGCCTAGAAACTATTTCTACAAGATTAAAAACCGCATATGCCTTACCTTAAATTATATTAAAAACATATTTTAAACATATAGATATCTTTATATCTGTATATATGTGTGCGTGTGTACACACACAGACACAACGATTTTTTTTTATTAAAAGAGTAAAATGTTAATTATAAAATATATACAAATTATGATTATTATATTTCAATATTCCTCGAGTACTAATTAAGTAATTAGAAAGTGAAAAAATATGGATATTTCATTTGGGATACTCATTTAATAAATCATAGGCACGTAATGAACAGGCTTAATTGTGCAAGGCTATTTTATAAGAATTATTCTGAAAAATATATATTAAATACATTTAAAAAAAAAAAAAAAACAACTACATTTTAAAGTAAATTATTATTATAACATCGTGGGCATAACGAAGTATTTAAACTATGCTGTCTTTATACGAAGAGGAATATGCAATTAAATTTATTCATTAAATTGAGCATCGTAGATTCTTAGATGTTTAAATTTGCTTTATCTATAATTACGATGAAGTGGAATTCTCTCTTGTCATTAACAATTTTAATAATGAGCTTACGTACCCATAGATATGTTAGGTGACGGCCAGGACATTACCGAGTAAACATTGGGGGGTCCACTCATGACACATTTTACGTTATTGTATTGTGGGAAGGGAAGCGAGCTCGTCCCTTCCGTTCCATTTACATTGATCTTTGACTTCTCCAGTTTAGTGGTGTGCTCACGAAAGGTTGGGAATTCGATGGTCGAATCGACGGGGGTTTGAGTTATGTCGAAGGTTGCACGGGTTATGAATTGTACCGGCCGGCGGTGATCGATAATTTTCATTTCAGTTCCTTCGTCATCCTCTGCGTCCAGCGAGCGAGGCCTCTGAACACCTCCGAGCGCGGCTGAAGCATTTCGCTCGCTTACGACACTTGCCTGAAACATAACACGTGACACATTAACTCACTGACTATCGTTAAAATTTTCATTTAGGTGCCGCTTTTGCATTACTTTAAAATTACTACGTGTAAAAGTCTTTTACCATTTCGTAAGTTTTTTTCATTCATATCTAAAATCGAAAATTTTATTGAAAATAATATGCAAAATTGATAAAATATTGAATTTTTATTGTTCAATATGAAATTTTTCTTTATATTTCTAAATGATATTGTACGTTGTCTTTATCTTTTATCTTTGAAAAGTTTTGGAATTGCAACCACAACGAAATTTTTTAATTTAATACTTAATAGTTTTCATTATTTTTATTAATATCAATGTTCTTTCACGTTATAAATTCAATTACGATTGACATAAAAAAGGTAGGAGAAAACAAATTAATATATAGATAATCTTGGCTTATATAATTTTAGGTGTTATCATCGTGTTGCGCTAAAAATTAAAAGAATGCCGAAAATCATTTATATTACTTATCACGAAAAACTTTTATAACATACTCTGTGTAAAAGCGATTTTGATTGAAAGGAAAATTACTAATTTTATACAATATACTAATTTAATAATGTATCGACACACACACACACACACACACACACACACACACACACACACACACACAAGTAATTTTTTAAATAAATTTTAAAAGCATAATGAATATTTATTTCAATATTTGTATGTCATAAGGGACCAGATAATTGCCACTTTGCATAAATCCCTGTATTTTTGCAATTAAACAGGTTTATTGATAAATGGTTAAAGCGACACGTTGCATTATGAAAGTAAATATTGCATATCATACTATTAAACAAATATTTAATTAACATATTATTTACACGATAAAATAATTCGTGAGGTTCATTATATTTTTGTTGTATATGTATAATTAAAATAATTTAAAAAGAAAAATTAATCATGAATATTTATATAAAATTAATCACAATAAATTTAATTTAATATCTTATTTGATTTTTGTTACTTATAAATAAATTATACTAACGTTATTTTATATATATAATAAGTACTTCAAAAGGCTTTAGGCGACATTCAGTTCATCGTATTAAATAAAGCAAACTCGCACAATTTATTCGAAGCTTTATTTAATATCTTTGAAAAGATAAACAAAAATTTTTTTTTCAACTGTAATTAATTAAATGTATAAAATATTAAGCAGTCATTTGTTAAAGACATATACAAGAAAACTGGGTTAATATTTGTAACACAATTAAATACGCAAAGACAAATTTATTAATTAAATAAGGCAATAACAAACCAAATGCTATATTGTATAAATAGTTAAGAGTACACATGTAAATTTATGTATTTAAGTACGTATTACGTAGTAAATTATTAAAGCTATCTGCACCAACGATAATAAAGTTTTTCTTTAAAATCGAATTAGTCTAAGTATATTTTATGAACTTTTAAACAACGCAGAGTGATCGCTAATTTCCAGTCCTATATAATTTAAATATCATTTAACGTATAATGTGATATTTTACGTTTTAGTCTTGAAGTGTTACTTATCATTGAGCGAGATTTGACAGCTTAAAACTATAATCTTTTTCTGATAATTTACCATTTGATATAGATAAAATTATGTATGACTTTTGCAGAAGCATTTGACCTTCTCTGATTTTAAAATTCACTTAATACAAACCTCAAAATCTTCCAAACCGATCACCATACAATCTTGTTTATTATACTCTGGAGGTGGGTTGTCTGACTCGAGCATCTCATTTGTTCCAAGTTTTCCCCTGTTACTGCTTCGTTTGTCTCGCAATTCACTTTCAATGTCACACGAGCCACTTAATTTACTTTCCTTTCTCTCCTTTTCTTTTTCTTCTTTCTTAGAATATCGATCGTAAGAAGGCTTATCCAAAGATTTGGATTTTTCTTTATTAGTCCAATCGTATACAGATTTTTCTTCAGATAAACCCTTCTGAAATAACAAATATTTTTTAATATATTTGCAATTGAAACATTTTTTTTACAGAAGTTTGTAGTAGAATCGGTAATTGGCAAATATTGCATTGTTGCATTATATTTTTTTGTTTGAAATTTCAAATTATATATATAAATATTTTATTAAATATATATATATAGCTCAAGCAGTATCAAGATGAGTTTATTGTTTAGTAAAAATGCCAACATAAATAAAGATTTTAATAGTTCAGATTTAAAACTGTTAAAACAGTAATAATAATAATAATAATAAAAAAAAAAAAAAAAAAAAAAAAAAAAAAAAAAAAAATTTCGTGTATCGCATTGTACAAAAATCAATATTTGTTTTAAAAATTGTGTTTAAAATTTAAAAAATCTTTTACATCGAGTATATAAAAGTACTATATAAAAATACTTTTAATATATAAAAGTATATATATAATTTTGGCTTGTACTTTAGATTTATGTATTCGGTTAAAATATCAATTTCCAACAAATTCGATGTACAGGCAGAATATATTTCGTTTGAAAAGTGTTTTTGATTTTTTACATTTAATCTATACATTCGCAACTTGATACTATTTTATGTCAGGAAAGAGGAGGTACTGAAATTTAGTTTTTCTTTTTATTGAAATATTAACATTAAAATTAACGACAAAAAACAAGAAGCTTTGAAAAGGAAAAAGTAAAAAAATGAGACATTTAATTAACTCGTTTTAAGAGTTGGCCCGTACAATTCTGTTATAATTCCGGCGAAGGATAAAAAAAAAAAGTCGCGTGCGGCAGGAACTTTCAACACCTCGGTACAAGAGTAGAAGAAAAAGAAAAAATAAGACAGATTGACACACAAAGGTGGAGAAGCTATGAGGAATTACGAGGATAAGCCTGGGCCGTACCTTCTTCTCGAACACTAGGTCGAAATTGGCAAGGGATGCAAGGGTGTGCGTGGCATTGACGTTGGAGGGCAGGGAGCCGCCTTCCCTCTGCCTCGCGGAGACGCTCGGGCCCGGGTGGCGCTTCTGCTTGCTGCGCCTGGGGCCGCCCGCGTATGTCTGACTCGAGCCGGAGACCAGGTAAGCGAAGCCGCTGTCGAATTCGGAGTTGGGCCCGGGCTCGCGCGCCAAGTTCTGCAGCGAGCCCCCGTGGGTCAGGTGCTCCGAGACGGAGTCACGCTTGTGGCGACGGCTGCGATTTGTGCCCGGGAGGCAGCGCGATGAGCCGCCACCACTGCTGCCGCTTGTCACTGTCCACCGGCCCTCCTCGCTTTCGTCGGCTTCCGCTTCTTGAAGTAGTTCCTACGTGCGGCACATTAGTATACGGAAGCTCACGTAGACATCGGGGCTCGGAGCTCGAAGCTCGGTTAGGATCTTTTTTATCGACCGCCTACAACTATGTACTCCGCCCCGTGTCTCATCGAGTTTTGGCGAAAATCGCACCCCCCTCCCCGCCCCAATTCCTATCCCACGCATACTCGTTCGCTTATTCAAATAACAATAATAACAATTTAATTTTGCATACTGACACGTTCGTTCATAACCGAGTCGCGAATAATCAAATGATTGTTTTCGTTGAAAGTTCGTTTTACATTGCAAGAACACCGCGACAAATAAATTTTATAGGTTTTTTTTTTCAAATCATTAATCGACATTCTCTAATCGAAGCGTAATCTTACTGGAGGCTTAGCAGGCGCCTTTTATATAGGAGTAACAATAATACGACGACGACGACGACGACGACGACGATAACAACAACAACCATCACCACGACCACCATCACCACAAACACCACCACCACAATAACAACAACCACAACGACAACAACAGCAACAACAATATTTTAACAATAGTCGAAGCTATTCTACATAATCTTCTAGGTTTCAATAATTAAAGGCATAATCATAGTATTAATCGTTACATTTTCATTATATTAATCGAAGCTTCATTCGTTTTAATAGATAGAAAAAGTAAAATTAATAATCACTCGATATTTTTTTAAAATTTTTTGGTGTAAAAATGTTATTATATATTGCTGAATATAATTTTTTCAAGAAACGTTTATATTAAAATTTTTTTTAAATTAAAGTCTGCAATAATATTATTAATAAATCCAATTGGAATCTCATGCTAATCAAATTTAAAAACAAATAAGTTTTACCGATTTAATTTAATAGAATTCGTTTAAGATTTTGAGTAATTTAATTGCTAAATAATATTCGAAACTCCTCATAAATATTACGTTATAAAATTAATTTAGCTAACTCAGACAATATAAATATATATAAAAAATCATATACAATTGTTTGATCTGTAAAAACTATTACCTATTTAAGTTTCCGTTATAAAGCCAATTAAATACATTTATACAATACAATTAGAATTTATTATATGTTTTAATTTTGCATAATTTATTTAATTTTTATTTCCATAAACAAAATGAATTTAGGTTCCACTTTTTTTTTAGAATCAATTAAAATATATTGTCGCTATTGTTCTTCGATTATTAAATTAATTTAAATGAAAATTTTTTCATTTAAAATTTAGATTCAGTATAATTTTGTACATTATTAAAGGAAAAAATCCTTGATACAAATAATATGTAATTATGTGAAATTATTAAATACTCATTAAACTGTTATTTGACAGAAATAATATTTTGAATCAGTCTTATAAAGAATCTGCAACTTAAATTACTTAAAGCAAATTGATTAATTTAGGCACTTCATTACTTCTGGTCTTAATGAATTGTATTTTATAATTAAATATTAGATATTTTATAAATATCGGTGACAGACATTTTAATCCACATATTAAGTTTAAAAATTACTTGGGAATATGTTTTGAATGTTAATAGTACGATTTGAAATTATTTAATTATTCGCCTTATGTTAAAGCATGCAAAATATTATTTTCTTAAATGTTTTGATATCACATAGTAACAATACGCTAATTAATTTTGTAGAATAGTTTGATTATTGAAAAAAAATACATAATAGTTACTCAATCTATTTATTCTATTATAAAATTACTTGAAATATATAATTGTAAAACATAAAAATTTCTTTAATAAAGCTATATAATGCAAGAAAATTTTTTTGTTCATAAATACAATGGACTAATTAAAAAATATATTTTAAGTATTTATGTTAATTTCAACTTTTGTAACAAATGATATTCTTTGGTTTCTTAGATAAAAATAATTTTTTAAATAAACGCTTAATTTCATTTTATTCATTTATTATTTTATAAAAAAAATTATTTTGAATAAATTCACTTTAAAATTATTTTTCATTTAATTTTAAAATAGGTTTACTAACATTTTGTTTTTATTTTTATACCAGTATATTGTAAAAATATAAGTAAATAAAAAATTAAAAAATTTTATATTTGTACATACACACACGCACGCGCGTGTATATTTATATAATTTATGGTAAGTAGAAATTGGTAAATTGAACTATTGTGTAATTGAAGAACACAAATATCATTTACTTAAATAAAAATACAAACTATTACAATAAAAAAAAATTAGTAAAATTGTGTGAATTCTGATCTAAATATTATTTTCTAAAATAATTTTATTAAATATTTAATCTATTTACAATAAAGATTACTATACAGATTTTTAATACATTATTAGCTTAGAAAACTGATTTATTTCTGCAAATTAGTTACGAATATTGAACTGTATAATTGTATATCGTTGATATAGACATCATGGAATGTTACAAATTATTATATATTGTAAAATGAGTAATTGAAAATTAATTAATTACAATGTATAAATTTAATATATTAAAAATAGTATGTTACAGTTTTCAATAAAAAGAGATATATCAATAGTTACACAGCTACAAATGAAAAACAATGAAAAAATATATCAAATTACATTAAAATTACTCTAAATTACTATGGTATTTCAATTATTACTTATTTGAAGTGTAATTTGATCACTCTGCGCTAATTGAACATCGATTAATGCTCTCGTTAAAATTAATATAGCTTTATAAGAATTGCAATATAATAATAATGTTACTAATAAAATAAGCAAGTTAGATAATTAATAAAATTAAAACAATCAATTTGTAGAATTGTATAAAATAATGTAGTTTTTTTATAAATGTAAGCTTACAAGAACATTAAACTCAATGTTTATATTTTACTAAGATTTTAATTTTAACTTACATAGTTTTATTGAATATAAATAACTTATATTCTTTTGTATTAATCCAAATGAAATGTATTAATCTAAATTTCCTTTGGGCTATTTAATAACTAATCTTCAAACCATATTTTTAATTTTTAAGAGTTATTATTTCTATTATAATGTGACTTTAAGGTTAGAACTATGTCAAAGTCTATTGTTTTAAATGAGTTTAATAACAATTAAAGATATTAGTAGATTATGTTTACTTCAACAAGAACACATTACTATTTTAGCTTTTGAAACAATAAAACTATAGCAATATAACAATGAAGCTATGTAGTTTTTTTCCTTCTTCACTCCAACCATATGCCAATACATTTAAATGAAACAATAAAGAGCCAAACTAACATTGTATGTGATAAAACCAATTGAATTTTTAAGCTTTAATAATTATCATCAACTGTACCTTAAAAAGATTGGACTTTCCTTCACGATCTTTGGGACATTTGTATGTAATGGCTTCATCCAATAATGCTCGAAGCTCTCCTTCGTTTAAAGTTGACAGGGTTGCAGGCTCTTCCTAAAAGAACAATATTTTTTTACATTAAGTAAAGCATTTAAAAATTTGAAGAATTTATTTAATGTCACTTTATGTAACATAAAATTATATAAAATAACGATGTTTTAATCGCTCTTCTCTGATAAGAACAGTAAAAAGTAAAGGATAAATTAACTACAGACGATAACAACAAGAAGAGCCTCTTCAAATTGTAAAATTATAACTACAAAATGAAATATTGAATTATGTAAGACTAATAAGTCTTTGGTATATTTACATTAACATTGGTTTAATAATCAAATAAGCACATATATGTAAGGTACTTATTTATTAATATTTATTAATATTTACTAAATATAACTATATAATTATTATTAATTCAATGTTACACACTAATAAATAATTTAATAATTTAAATATTAAAATTGAATGAAATTTTTGTATAAAAATATTGTGTAAATATAGATTTTGTATAAAAAGTATAGTAAAACCATTGTAGTTAAGTTATATTCAATTTACACAATGCTTGTATCATTATTTATTTTTGTTGTTGTATTATTATTTACTTTTTGTTACAATTATAAACTATCTAAAATGTATACCTGAAGCATTATTAATAAACATTAATTATCAATAAAAATTAAAATCTATCTGGAGCGTATGTTTTAATTTTAATTGAATACTAGAGAGAAATGATTTGTTTCATTTATTATATTATGAATATAATAATTAGAACAATTGTTTAGAATATTAAAACAAAATGCAATCATTCTCTAAAGCTGACAGGTTATACTAATACGGTAAAACATGTTTTCACAATCTATCAAACAAGGGAAGTATGTCACTGAATTCAAAGTGAAGATGTTGTTCCACATCTAGAATTAATGCCAAATGTATTAACCAATGACTTCGATCCAGCACCTTATTCATTGCGAAATTTCTAATTAATAGTCTATAATTAAATATATATATATATACAATTTTATATAACAAATTGTTTAATTAATTTAAATTTTAATCACATGAATATTCTATTTTATAGTATTATTAATTATATGATTCAATTGGATGTCTCGATCGACGATTAACGATTAATAAGTATTAAGATTAAATTTGTATGTCATAGCGATCATATTTATTTAGCCTATTTTAATATATATTTGCAATTATTTTATTAGATATTTTAATTTAATTTCGTTATTATGCTGTATAAATATTTGAATGCACATTTTTGGCATATTGGTTATATATTCTTCTATTTTATATTGACCTGTTATTAATAAACATAACCCAAAAGTATGAAAAACGTATAGAATATTGTTAAATATATTAATAATATACATAAATATAAATACGATATAAGTATAAAGATAAATTTATAGATTGCGGTATTATGAATTGTCGAATGAACAGTTGATGATAATAAATAATGTTAGTTATAATAACAATAGTAATACCATTAAAATTAATAGTTCCATGATTTATAGAAAAGTCAATACGATTAAATAATTTATGTGTATCATTGTCAATTGCTGCGAGCACATTATCTTTAACAATAATGGTATAAGAACAGATAATATTTTTTAAATTACAGCACATTAATCAGTAGAAATGTAGATTTTTGTAGTATAAAGAGCTATGAGTTGTAAAATAAACTTAAATATTTTTCAATGAAATTCGCTCTTATTTGAATAATCTATATGTATATTTATTTTACTTGAATATCATGAGTAATAAATAGATTCAGATAATTGGTCAAATTTATAAAGAATAGATGAAAGGCGAAGAAAACATTTTGAATTTAATGAGAACAAGTTCACTTATCAATCACAGATATTGAACAAGTCAAAAAACATGTCTCGTATCATCATTTTACTACACAAGCAGCCATATTCTTTTTTTTTTTTCAAATAATTAGAATGTCAATCATTTAAATAAAATTTTGGTATCATTGTAATGAAATGCCATATGTAAAAAAAAACCTTAGAAAATAATGCTTTTAGTATTTATAAGTATTTTAAGTATTATTTTTCAATAATGCTAATAATCAACAACATGGTAGAAAATATGAGTTGATTTTCAATAAGTAGAATATATACATAATATATATATATATATATATATATATATATATATATATAATGTGTATATGCATGCACATGCCGTGAGACTGAGAGAGAGAGAGAGAGAGAGAGAGAGAGAGAGAGAGAGTGAGTGAGTGCGTGAGGAAGGAACGAAGAAAGAGAATATATATCTCCTATTTCATCCAAACAGACTTACTTGGGAAACGTAAAAAGAGGAAAAACGTATGCGGAGCGCCGCCTCCTATTGCCGTCGCCACCGCCACTGCCGCCACTGCTGCCGGGCAGTGTGCCGACGGTGCGGAATTTATATTTTTAGAGGACACCCAGATATCGTTTAGCGCCTCGAGCGATATGTCCCAGAGGACTAAAGAACGAGTAGCAGCGCACGCGGGATAAGAGAGAAAGCCGCGGTCACCACCATTGTCATCGTCGTGTTAAACGTTTCCGTCCTTGCAATCGCACTCGCACTCGTCGTCCTCGTCCTCGTCCACGTCTTCTTCGTGAGCCGTCGTGTCGTAGTAGCTCTCTGCGATCAATTTACGCAAAGGAGTTAAGCATTCACTTACGTGCGTGTATACGTGCACCGTTGACGCCCGTTTTTCTCGCCCTGACTTCCGCCGCCGTCGTCGAGAAACGTACGAACGAACGAACAAACGAAGGAACGAGCCATCGAACGGACTTTGAGCGGGCGGGAGGGCGCGCACGCACGCACCACACAGAAACACACACACGCGCGCGCGCGCACGCACTAACGACAAGAGTGCGCTCCCTTGCGCCTCCGCCTTTTCGACGGTTCTTCAGAAAAATCCGATATTCGTCGGCCGCCTCCGCCACCTACTCCTCTTGCTTCTGCTCTTCCACCACCTCCTTGGCGCTAAAAGCAAGGCGGACGTGTCGATCGAGGTATTGCACGCGAGGCATCCAGCCTACCGACCGAGTATCCGACCCGCTCTCTCCTACAGCCCTGCTGTGGTTGGCGATAGGAGGAGAGACGACACACGCGCGCTAGTTACGAATCGGCGAGTGGTGGCTGCTCGGTCGTTGTTGTCCTTGTCGTCGCCGTCGCCACCGCGAACGAATGCGGCGATGAGTATCGTCACCACCGTCACTACCACCGCCGACGTAGCCGCCGTTACCGCTACCGCCGGGTCGCACAACCTACACACTCGCAAACGCACAAGCTCCTCGGTGCGCTGCATTCGCTAATATAAATCTACGGGTGAGCGCGCGTGCGCCCGCACGCACACACGTCAACTGACAGAGAGGGAGGGAGGGAGGTAGGTAGCGTGCGGCCGCGCGCACGCATACGTATCCACAGAGAGAGAGAGAGAGAGAGAGAGAGAGAGAGAGAGAGAGAGAGAGAGAGAGAAAGGGCAAAACAGGACGGTAAAGGCAAATGGTAAGAAGGGAAGGGAGTGTATTTCGACGAATGGACTCGGGTGCGGCGCGCGCTCCTCTCCTCTGCTCCCTCAGCTCTCGAGGCTCTCGACACTCTCGACAGTCTTGACTAGCGACGTCGAGGCGGTTCGGTCGGCATGTTCGTCAATCGGGTCGCCATTACCGTTTACCAGCCATTAAACTCGAAACCATAGACACGGAACAACGTCAGGAATGTAAGCGCGAACGTCGGAGCCCTTACTTTCATCGTTCTCTTAGACCAAACGTGCGTCTTTTTACTTATCCTTTACCCAGTTCACCCCTGCTATACCCTTATTGTTTTTTTTTCTTTCCCTTTTAAATATTTTTTCGAGTTATCGCGTACTTTTTTTGTTTTGTTTTTGTTTTTTGTTGTTTTTGCTACTGTTGTTACGAGCACGGTTGACACGGAAGTAGACGAGTCATTTCTTGATACTGACATTGTAAATTCTTCAAATTGTTCAATTCAAATCTTCCGTTTTAACTAGTTTTTGAAAAGTCATTTAATTCGCCATTCATTACGTATTATTATCATTGTTAGTGTATTATGAGTTAGTGTTATTTTTTTTTTTTTTTTTTTTTTTTTTTTTTTTGTAACTTAATTATAAAATTTGCACATGGGAATAAACGTTGATTAAAACTTTTTGTATTTCTTTTTAAGCAAAAAATGTGTATGTTCTGATAATGAAAATGAATGCACAATTGTAATGTGATTTACGTGTCGGTGAAAACATTTTTTTCTCATCAAATTTTATAGACAAATATTTAAGACATTTCAAGTCTTTAATTTAGACGATAATCATCTAGCGCCATTTGTATACACATGATGAACTATTTAAAGCAAACATTAGACTGCAGTATCACCAGGCGAAGTCACAATTATACTTTTTATATTTTAAATTGCCTGATTATTATTTCTATTTCAGAAACTCTAAAAAATCGATTACTGTTATTATCAAGCAATTAATTAATCGTGAAAAAGAAAGATGATCTATGCTAGAAAACAATAAGATATATTTACTACACTTGAGTAATAGAGCTATGCAATACACCAATCAGCGTCCAGAATTAGAACCGTTTGATTGTTGCGACTAACTCGGTTCTCTCTCTCTCGCACACGCACGCACGCACGCACACACACCATCGCTCGCTCATACACTTACTCGATACACTATCAAGCACTTCCGATTCTGCATGCTGATTGGTCAGCTTTATCGTCCTATTGCTCGAGTTCTAATTAGTATAAAAATATTTTTGTACAGGCCGTTTTAGTCTCTTATAGGGAATCATGAAATAATAACTTTTACTCAATCTTCCGACACTGAGGATATCAGTGTATATAATTTTAAAATCATTTATCAGTGCCATTGATTATTCTGTACTGTAATTCTGTAAAAAAAGATGTAAAGAAATTTATTATAAACCTTAAATTAAATTTTATAAATATTGTTCTAAGATTGTATCAATTGTGCTGCGCGCAATTATTTTTTTCTTTGAACAAATTTATATTAAAATTTTATG